GTGGTCCTCAAACTGGCGCCCCGCTTACGCGTCCGCACGCCGCTGCGACCCTTGAGCGAGGCGACTCGGGTCAGGTTCAACGACATCAGCCTTGCCAATGAGCAATTCCATCGCCCGGCCACCGTCTCTCTAGTATTGGGAGCGGATGTCTACCAGAAGGTGATCCAGCCCGGGTTCCTTGCTCGAGGAGACGGCCTTCCAGTGGCCCAAAGCACTGTTTTCGGATGGATTGGAGGAGGTGATGTTGCTGTCCTGCAAGGGGGGGAGGATGTTTAGGGCAGCAGCGCGGTTAACAGCGCTCTGTTAGCTCGCGCGCTCTCCCATGCCCTTCGCTCTCGCGCGGCGTGGACGCGATCCACTCGGCGCTCCATCACGGGCGCTAGCCGTAGGCCGAGCGGGAGAGAACAGTCTCTCGACACCTACGCGCCTATCTACAACCGTCTTCAGCCCTCAGCTTTGTGCACGCCAATTATAGTTGACGCCCCCGCCTTTTTATTTATTGGGAATCCGAACTGTGGGAACGACCAACATCCACCCTCCTACAAAACACAGGTGTGGTGCTGTTAAACTTTTGGCACTTTTTATGTCACCTGCCCCACGTTGGGCGCCAATTAAATTATCGCGGGAAAAAGTTGAGTTTTAAAAAAAACTTTATTTAACAAAAGGATTAAGTTCAAAGGCTTTTACATTCAACCGGCTTAAACGCAACTTAATTTTTAACTAGAACTGTCCAGTTCTGATGTTAGAAACCAACTGCTCTAAGTCTAATAATTTCCTTATCATGAAACCTCCTTGAGTCCTCTTCGGGGAGCTTCCATAAACATTTCGGGTTCGATCGGATTCGATCGGCTTGGATTAGATCATCCAGTTGAGGAATTGTGAAATTCCAAATAGCAGTGTTTGCAGAAATCAGCCACAGCTGCAATGCAAATGGATTTCTAATTGAAATCGAACAAGCTGCAACGCAAATGGATTTCTAATTGAAATCGAAGATTGTTTATAATAAGGCTGGGGTGGCCTGGCTTCCAACTTAAATGATATGAACAATTGTTTATAATAAGGCTGGGGTGGCCTGACTTCCAATTAGGAAAACCGAAGATTGTTTACAGCACACTATGGGAAGCCAAAGATTGTTTATGACCTACTATGGGAAGCCAAAGATTGTTTATAAATTGAACAATATTCTTATGAGAACGGGTACGTTAACTAACATGTGTGTAAATAGACAGCCGCGCATATTCTCAATTGAGAGAGAACTTGCCTGAGTGGGCAGAGAACTCTCAAGTGGAAACAGAGAGATAGAGAGAAAGACTCAAAGACATATTTTTTCATTCCTTCCACAGGAATTTTTAGAGTCAAAACATTTGCGTGTCACCCCTCCCATACATAAATAAACGGCTGATTTTAACAGCTGCATGTAAAGGCTAAAGCGGGCCATCCACGATAGAATTTGTTCGGAAAACATGTTGGGTTCGAATCGTTGGTGGTGTTTAGCGTTCGGGTCGTAATTTCGAGTTCGATGTTGTGTTCGAAGAGAATAGAAATTATTCTATCTTCGTTGTGTTCGTGCCAACATGTTCGTCAATGGATGGCAATTTTGGCACGAACATCATTTGTAAACATTTTTGCTTGAGTGAACACCTTCAATTAAAATGTCAAAACAATTTTTGCAAGAATTTATACATTGCCTGCATTCCCTTTTTTCTTTTTTTTCTCCAAACATATATGTATTGCCATTAAGGCAATTACTGTCTCGGTGTCCTCTGACATGTTTACTCGTTGATAAGTTAAAGAAAATGATGTTTGCGAGAAATGTTCGCACTCGTTGGTGGGCAAATGAAATTCATAATATACAACATGTTTTCCAACAAATTCCATCGTGGATGGCCTGCTTAAATGAAAGATCGGCAATATCTTAAATATATATTTTAATACTAACATAAATATGTAAATATACATGTAGGTGTAGTCATACGTGCATATGCATATAAATTTATGAAATTGCCAACAAATTGTTTACCAATTGCTTGGGTGGAAGGAGACGATGCTCTATCTCTCTCTCTCCCTCTCGTTGGTCGCGCTGTTGGCAAAAGGGCCTGATTGCGGAAGGGGAAAGAGAGAGATAGAGACAGAGACAGAGCCAGCCGCTCGTGTTTTAGATTTCGCTTTTGTTTTAACGGACAATTCTCATTATTTTCATAGGGATGTTTAGATGACAACCTGCATTCGCTGGTCCCCCTCCCCACCCTAAAATATAACGGCTGATTTAAAGAGCAGCATGTATGTAGGACAGCGATGCCCAAAGTCAGCTTACGGCTGGGCACTCACCAATACTCCCAAACAAAAACACAAATACCAATAAGGGAACAGTGCAAACTCGAAGAAAGGACAACAACAAAATCATAAGAAAAGTCGGGTAACACCAATCAGAGAAGAGACAAAACCGGTTTTTGCTGGACGGATCGCATACACACAAAGTTCTTTGCATGTGTTGGGCTTTCGGTATGCTCCCTGTAGTACTGGCGGTGGCGATTGACCCTGTCGAACTACCTACTTCGCTGGTCCGTACATGGGTACCCACCGAAGTAACCCTATGGTAGGCGAACGCCGAACCACTCAAAGAGTAGAAAATAATTTTACTCTGTATACCTTACAACCCACCGCGTACCACCCAGCGAACTAGTTCGATGGGCTGCAACGTCTCACCAGTAGACGAAAAAAACGAAACAAAAGAAGAAAGAAAAGAAGCCAAAAATGAAAGCGCTGCGTCTACGGAGCAGAACGCTGCTACGTTTTCGTTTTTTGGCATTGTATTGCTGGAATGTTCTATTGCTTTCGGCTGTACTTGTTGAGACGCGCTTGTGAGTTCCAGTGAAAAAAAAGTGAACATTAATCAATTAAATTATTTAAACATAGGAGGTGGCGCTAACCCATATCAGACGTGGAGGCCAAATAAATCTTTCAACTAATCACGGTTGAAAGTAACTTAATATAAAAAAAAAAAAACTTATTTAAACATAGGTAAACATAGCAATCGGCATTTACGTAGACTTAGGAAGGAAACTAATTGCAAATCGGAGAAATTGAAAATGAAATGGAAGTGATAAAGACGGAAAGTGGGAATAAAATGAACTTAAGTGAGGATTTAAAGTATTGGTTTTTGAAGCATAGGCCAACGAGAAAATGCGCTGTAAACCTAGTTCGAGTATTAAAAAGAAATAAGTTGGAAGTTGCGCCATTTTATAAGTACACTTGGGAAAAAAAAAGCTGATATAGTTCAAATTGACGGTGGCCTTTACTTACATATTGGCTTAAAAAATCAACTGACTAAACTGGATTCATTAAATTTACAAAAAAATTTGTATTTTTATGTTAACATAGATGGTCTTCCGCTTTATAAAAGCTCCAATGCACAACTTTGGCCTATCCTCATTCGGTTAGCTAATGTGAAAAATGCACCCATTCTGCCAATTGGAATTTTTCTTGGGAAATCAAAACCCACCTGCTGTGACGAATTTTTAAGCAAATTTACTTCTGAGTTAGAGGAATTAATGCAAAACGGACTCGAGATAGGCAAAAAACAACTTAAAATAAGTGTAAGGGCTATTGTGTGTGATGCCAGGGCTTTTGTCAGTGGTACTCCTGGACATACATCTTCACATGGATGTTCAAAGTGTACCCAAGTAGGAAGAAAGATAAATGGCACATTAACATATCAAATTGAATGCGGAGATTTAATAACAGACGACGATTTCAAAATCAGAAAGTACCCTACACATCATTCCCAAAAATACTTGGCAAAGCAGTCCGCATTTGAAAAATTAAACATCAGAATGGTTACCCAAATTCCCTTGGACTGTATGCATTTAATTGATTTGGGAGTCATGCGAAAATTTCTTGTAAGGTTAGTGACCAATAAAATTGGTAATAAAATTGCAAAACCCAACTTATTAAATATATCAGAAAAACTTATTTCCTTACGTAAAAATATACCCAGAGAGTTTGCAAGGAAGCCCAGAGCTTTAAATGAACTATTAAAGTGGAAAGCTACAGAATTTCGACAATTCTTACTATACACAGGAATTTTTGTTTTAAAAAATGAACTCACTGAAGAACAATATTATGTTTTCCTTCTTTTACATTGTGCATTACATTTTACATAGGCTGCTGTGCTACCCAAAGCTACGAGAATCAAATATAGACACCTCCCAGCACATTTTAAATGATTTTGTAGAAAATTTTCCCCTTATTTTTGGTGAGAGTACTGTATCGTACAATATTCACAGTTTATTGCATGTAAAAGAAACTATCAAACAAGTGGGAGATCCAGTAGAGGGCTCCTCATACGCTTTCGAAAACTATTTACAGCTGTTGAAGAGATACGTCAGAAAGCCATCAAGTATATTGGAACAAATATATAGAAAAATAGACGAAAAAAGTTTCACGATTTCCTCACTTGACTCACTTTCCTCAAATGAAAAAAAGTAATACTATTTAAGGGATGCGTCTTAACAGAAAAGACACCTAACAACTACTGCTATATAGAAGGAAGTATACCTGTAGTTATTCTATCAATTTCAGACGATTTTGATAGATCCATTATAGGACGACGACTGACAAATTTAAGGAGCTATTATACTGAGCCCATGCTTTCATCCAGCCTAGGAATCTATTTATCGGACACAGAACCTTCTTCTACGGAAGAAATATTTTCATTAAGACAAATTGAATACAAGGCTATCGTTATTCCATATTTAAGTGATCTTATAGTAATGCCAATGCTACATCACGTAAAAAATTAAGTTGCTTTGTTTTATCCTATAAACATTGAACTCTAAAACTTTACTACAATTTAAAAAGGAGGTTTTTAGTCCGTAGGCACGCAAAGCCCTCGTGCTAAGCGTGAATCGGACATGCCCCACACGACGGCGAGAGAGGCATCTTTTGAAGATTTTCCTACCTTGTTTCGTAAAAAAAACAAAAATGTAGAGAGTTCTCTCTGATTCCTTATTAAATTTTAGCAGAAAAAAAATTGAAAATATGTCGGAAAGTCCTGAGCGGTAAGTGTTAAAATATACTTACAAATAATTGTAGCACCCCAAAATTGTTACAATTTTCATTTTAGAGAACAAGTCCTATTGCAACTGTGGTGATGTGACTGCTTCTATGGAGCGCCTTGAGGCATCGGTCACAGCTTCTATGGAGCGCCTTGAGGCATCGGTCACAGCTTCTATGGAGCGCCTTGAGGCATAATTTACAGCTACTGTGGAGCGCTTTGAGGCATCCATGGGTGGCCTTTCTGCTGATGTGTGCTCTTTACGGGGTATGACTTGTATGAAAAAATATTTTAATTGAATTAATCTGTATATTTGTTTTTAGCTGACCATAATATAACTCAAAGGCAAATGCAAGTGTTGGTCGAAGCCGTCGCAGAGCAAGCCGGCAACCTAAAAGGTCTGGTGAGGCAGCATGGAAAACTATGTTACAATCTTTCCCGGTACTATCTGTCCTGGGACTGGTACAGATGGACAAAGATATAAACAGCAAACAAACAAAATTTTGTTTATTCTAATTGTATTTTTACAGATTGAAGCAATAAAAACTATTATCCTGCCGAACGGTATTTTAAAGAATTGTAAAAATATTCTTTCTAATGCCGTTGTGTTAGCCTATAACGTGGATGGAGTCCAAGGCAAGTCGGCGCTGAAAAATCATAAGAATTTTTATGGAGTGTTGCTTGGTATGCATATCTGTTTGTCCTTCTAAGTTAAATTTTCCTGCCTATTAATATGTATTTGAATTTTATATTTATAGATGCTATAGCTGTAGATGCAGGGACTGGATCAGCAGAAATACAGCTAAGAAAAGCTCTTCAACTGCAAAAAAAAAAAGACATTTCAAAATTGCAAAGCCAACGGCAACAACTGAAAGTACTGAAATTTAAAAACAAAGAAATTAAAAAAATTAAATTTTTGAAATTGTTAACTGCACGAGTTTTTATAATTTTGGGTATGGGTACCCATTTCACTACCCCTTGGGGCCCCCCCCCCCAGATGAGTACCCATTTCACTACCTACCAGATGAGTACCCATTTCACTACCTACCAGATGGGTACCCATTTCACTACCCCTTAGATGGGTACCCAAATCACTACCCTCAGATGGGTACCCATTTCACTAGTTCGGTGGTAAACGATGTGGCGTCACTGGTCCCCATGCCCTAGGCTTTTGCGGGTAAAAGTGGAAATGAAGAATAGCATTGTTTAGGGTTTGTCCAGTTGGTAGTGGTGGTCTGTTAGGGACGGGTCATATCACCACCTCCGAACTAGTGCCCAGTACTACAGGGCTGGTACACAGAACAAACTGTGTATGCATACAAGAATTCGTTTCCTATGCTGAGGGCAATTACCCTACTGCCAGAAGCAGTCACCTCATGAAAAAATTCATATGAAAAATTGTTCGACGTCGACTTCGCTGCCGTTGACGACGTCGACGTCAGCAGAGAATTTTTCCAAGCTCCACTGCTCCTAACCGAAACGGATGTGTAAGAAAGAGAAGCAGATATCCATAGATTTCCCTCTCCCTCTTACTCACTCTTCTACTCTCGCCCCTTCTCACTCTTTGTTCTCACTGTTCCATTATGCCAGAGTCAAAAGCATATTTTTCGTGAAAAAGAAGTACCGAAAAATATTTAATGGCGCACCTACTTTTTTATACTCTTAAACTTTGAGCGCAATTATTTACTTCAATTATTTATATCAATAGCCTTATTATTATTATTTGGTAGCCTAATAAAAAGTACATTGTTATTAAAGTCTATTATATAATAATAGTAGCGATATCATTTAAGCAAACTAATTTTATATATAGGTACTACCATAATTTAATCTTATTGTTACCATGATTAAATAATAGACTTATATAACTATGAAAAAATTAGTTTACTAAATTCTATTTATTTATGTCCATATTATTTCGCTGGTCAAGGAAAAAAGTAACTTATAGTCGGATATGTATCACAATCGAAAGGGTACGCGTAAAAAAGGAGATGAAAATGACACGCGTCAAGAGGAGATGAAACAAAAGAAACAGTAGCAAAGCGGTAAGGAAAGACAATTAGTTTTTCGTTGCGTCTGGCTGGGGTGTTTTGTCTCCGTCTGAGTTTCAAAAAAAGTGTTTTATTTCCAGGTTTTACGATTAACTAATTCAGGTAAGTGAACTAAGTGATAACAGTGCGCTTTAAGTTTAAGTGTTACTTGGTTTTTAATAAAATCTAAAATGCAGAAAGCAGAATGCAACACAAAATACGTCTAGAACATTCTAGAAATGTGTTCGGCGAGTGCGTCGCACAAAGGAGCCTCAGCGGAAGGGGGGTGACAAAAGTCAAAGAATTTTATGAGCGCTTTGGATAAAATGAATAAACTCATTTATATTTTCCAGAGCTTTCGAAAATGTAATTTTCAAAATATTCGGTATTCATGTTTAAGAGATATGAGCAATCAAAGTTGAAAATTTTTTCCGTTTCATAGAAAGTTCTAGAGAAAAATTTTGACTTGTAACTTTTAGGGGTTGCTACCACGAATAGAAAATACAATATTTTGTTATATATAATTTTAAAATTCGTCGCTTTTTTTTAAGTAATATTGAAACTTAGACACTAGTTCATTTTAATAATAATAATAAGCTGAGGTAATATATATATTTGGTTATGCAATCTATTTGCTGGCAAAAATTGATTAATAAAAAAAAAAAATTTTCAATTTTCTTGATTTAAACTTTTTAGTCTCGGTAGCAACCTCTAAACATTTTTTTAAAATAAAAATAAAAACATTAATATAATAATTTAACCCAAGATAAAAAAATTAAAGGTTTTTCCGTTTAAATTAAAAAAAACATTGGCTCAACCTAATACCCTATTTTGCCTGTTTTTCGTTTGTCTTTTCCTAGTGAAACCCAAGTAACTGAAGTAACTTTAAACTTATTTATATTATTTAATATTAAAAAATTAATTTTTTAATTTACAGGTTTCGATAGGAAATATTTATATAGGCAAAAGTACCAAAATGGTTGGTCCTCGTCAGATTCGTAGACTAGTTAAAAGGGAAAGGGATCAACTAGGGGAAAGGTTGAGGTCAGTCGAAGGCAGTCAGAATAGTGTAATAATAATTAATTAATTCATTATAAAATAATTCATTAATATATATATTTTCATATTTCAGAAGAGATGCAGCTCCTCCGGGACCAGAACCGTCTATTGATGGAAAAAAATGTTATGGCGGATAAACTAGCCGAAGTTGCTGCTCTCGTTAAAGTCCAGGTGAAGGCAGAGCAGGTGGTCCCAGGGAGCATATCGTTCCCAGTGAAATCAGAGGAGGAGCTCGATATGTTCGAGGAGCACATGACCCCTCAGCTAAAAGATGTTTACGTAAGTACGGAACAAGGAGGGAAGCTACATGCGCCATACAAATTACAATATTACTTTATCTTAAACGATTTAAAGCTATTTACATGATTTTGTATATATTTACAGATCAAACAAGTTTGGAAGCTGCTAGAAAAGGACTGAAAAACTACAACCTCGACGGGACTTGCGGTAAAAAAAAGGTTTCAGATCCCGGGCTGGGCTCTATTCGGTTCTAACGGGTAAGACGAAATAAAAGTTAAGAATGTCTAACAATTCATTAATTCGTTTTAATAAAAAGAAATAAAACGTATTTAAAATATAAAAATTATTTTTTTTTTTAATTTCAGGAGTGTTGTGTGTTTGTGTGTGTGTTTTGGTATGCATACGGTACATAAACCGTCTAAAAATTTGTCGTCGCAACTAGAACTTGAACCAGTTGGACTGCGGAGAGGGTTTCCTACGTCGAGCAAATGAGGGTCTGAAGACACGGCGACAGCCTCTGTTGATTGCAGTTGTAGAGAATGAGTGAACAGGCAGTGATGGTACTGTTTCTGATACTGATTTTATTCAACAAACTTAATTTCTATTTATAGGTAACAAAAGGTACAGAAAGTGCTGAGTCTAGTAAGAATATGGTAAAAGGGAATTGGAATTAATATTGAATTAATTTGGATTTAATATGATATTGTGTTATTGGGCAATTGTGATAGTCAGCAATTGCACCAGTGTTTTTGCCCTCTGACGAGCGATCGCATCGTTGGCAGAAATTGCTGCAGAAGCGGTTATTGTTGACTCAGCTACAATGCCTTGTCGTTTGTTATTATGTCTCCCGTTACATGGGTCGGCCTGACTTATTCGATAAGTGTATATTATGTAATATTAATTACTGCATAAATATGCGACTGAACAAGGAGCCTTGCGGATGCATAATCCGATCGAGTCGGTGGATAGTGCCATCAGGAAGGCCGTTTTAAATATAAAAAAATAATATAATTGAAAAAAATGCAAGAAAAGCACTTTAAAATAAAAAATTTTAGTTGTATTTAAATGATGTTGTTTAAGGAGCTTGTACGGAGCTTTAGAATTTAAATTAACCGTGAAATTTTTTAATATTCATGAGAAATGTCGCGTGTGATTTCATATAGGACATTTTCGGAAGTGTCTCAAGTGAAATCACTCGTGGCTAATAAGTATAAGCCACCGGTGAAATCACTAGAAAGTTCAGTGACAATTTCATATGAAGTTTCACGAGTGACAAAAGCGGACATGTCCATACAAATTTCATCTGGAGTTTCACCAGTGAGTCACCCAAGAAAATCCATACTTTGCTCTCGGAACCAATTCTTTACTACTCGAGAGGCGTGCTTCGGGTCATTATCCTGCTGGAACTTCCATAGAAGTGGCATATTATCCTCGGCATATGGTAGCATCACCGTCTCCAATAGATCTTTACATACGAATCTGTCCATTATTCCGTCAATACGATGAATCGGACCAACACCATACCATGAAAAGCATCCTCATACCATTAGGCTACCACCTCCATGTTTCACAGTTTTACATGTGTATCTGGAATCAAATTCTTTGCCTTTCGGACGACGAACATTCCTTTTGGCATCATTTCCAAATAAATTTACCTTGGTTTCGTCACTCCAGAGGATATTACGCCATTTTTTATCACCCTCCGGTCCGCACCAGTTTCTACGATCTAGTGCAAATTTTTTCCTCATCTGTAAATTTGCCGAACGAAGTAAAGGAACCCTGTGAGCAATTCTACCTGGTAGGTTTGCTTTTGCCAATCGTCGCCGAACGGTCCGTGATGACACAACATTCCCAATTTCGTTGGAAATCGTCCTGGAAGACTTGAACGGGTCGCGTTTAACCATACGATCGTCGGTCTTAGGTGATGATTTTCTAGGTGCTCCCCGAGTTTCACCTATTTTTTCCGGTTTTAAGGCATTGGTTACGAGTGAGTCACCAGTGGCAGAGGACATGCCATGAGTGATTCACCGAATGAATCACGAGTGAAAAGTGACTTTTGGAACTGCAGGGTACTAAAACAAATGGGCTCCGTGGGCAATGGGCCTGGGCATCGCTGATGTAGGACCTACATTCATATGTAGATATGTATCTGCAAATATGTATGTATGTATGTACATACATACATATATATACGTATGCATGTATATAAATATGTATGTTCATTGGTTTTAATAATATTTATATGTACATAATTTGTTCAACTTTTTGCCTTGGTTAATGTGTTTTTGGTCTTGCTGTTGGCAAAAGAGGCAGGTTGATTTGATAATGTGAGAGGGGGATTGTTTTAAG